CCCTTATATTATTCTTATTACTATTTTTATCAGCCAATCTTTTTGTCCTTTGTTGCAATTGGGGATAGCGACAAAAATGGGGGTTAGACTCCCTATCGTATTAATGAATCAAGAGTACTTTGAAAGTGGTGAGTAATTTTTAATGAAGTACATTGTTATTGTTATAATTAAATAATTAATTAATTAAAATATATTAATAAAACTTGTGTTATTCAAATTTTCTTGAATTTAAGTAATAATGCATGTCTATAGACATTATTATATTCAGCTATTTAATTAAAAATATCATTGTCAAATCTTAATATTATATTCAGCTATTTTATTATATTCATAAATTTAATATTTCTTTTCTTGTCAAATCTTAAATTAATAGATAGGACATATAACTTGGCATGCCATGCATGGAGTGATAAAGGAGATAAGACCCAGCTGTCAGAAGTGTTAAAGCTGTCAGAAGTGTTAAATGAGTAAAAAGAAAAAAAAAATTTATGAAAATCAATTCAACCAAGAAATAAAAATTTGAGCCAAAAGATTGAGACATGTATTTTAAAAGTAATTTTTAATAAATTTTTTTAAAAATTAATGAAATATGTGAATTAAATTAATAATTTTTTTATATATATTATTAATTTTTTTTAAAGTTATAATACGTTAAAAAAATTTTACTCTAAATTTATTTTTAATAAAATTTTGATGTATAAAAAATATATATAAATATTTTAATCGTTAATATCCAAATCTGCAGGCTCCTCAGACTTCAACGTTTCACTTCTATTAAAAAAACAAAATTAGTATTATTGGCATATCAATAATCAGAAGCTTTTTCACTCGTTTGAGTAATCTCTTTTTAAATTAAATTACAGTAAAAACTCTTTAAATTAATATTCGATAAATTAATAAACTTTCTAAAATAATAAATTTATCTGGTCCCGACTTGAGCCAATATAAAAAATTGAAAAACTCGATAAAATAATAAGATAATAATTTTTCGGGAGATCCCTTTATAATTTTCGGTCTCAAGAAAGTCATAAATTAATAATTCATAGAAACTGAAAAAAATATATTACACTTTTATTGAAATATGATTCAATAGTTGTCTGTTTTCTTTTAAAGTTCAAGTCTATTTGGAGCTCATCTCTAACTTTTCTTATTGCATCCAATAGCTCAGGTGTTGTATTTTTGTATTGTATCATAAAGTTGTGAAGAGTGTTCGACGCCATAAGTGCTTCCTTTCGCGTAACAGGCTCCAAAGACACTGTATCATCTTCGTCGTCATCCTCTGCATTGTTCTCAATGATAGTAACCACAATATCTTTTAAACTCTGAACCTCCGAACATGCTTTATTTTCACCTGGGTAGTTCATTAGATTGTCGATATCCATCTTATTACGATAGCCACATTGATTGATCATAGTCTCGAGGTCTTGAGTTTCTTCATCAAAAGTGGATTCATCCAAATTTCTTGCAACGTCACTATCTGAACGAATTTTACAGTGTCGGAAGCAATTCGCTATTGTTTCTTTTCGAACATCTATCGTCCAAGCTGAGATTGCCAAATTGATAGCATTAAGGACATTTATCTTCCCTAAATCAGATTGTCCCACCTCATAACCTTCCAATATTTTGCGGTAAAACCTTCTACGGTAATGCATCTTGAAAGCTCTTATTATCCCAGCATCGCAAGGTTGAATCTTTGATGTCATGTTGGGTGGCAAGAAGAACAACTCAACGTTTCTTAGCCCTTCAATATTTCTTAGATGTGCTGGACAATTATCCACCACAAGTAGAACTCTTCTACCATGCATCATTTGGTCAAATGAACGAACATATTGGTCAAATGAACGAACATTTGGTCAAATGACAATTCAAGCTATTCATGTTGACATTCTTGAAGCAACGAGACTTTGCATATTTCCCAATAATCCATAGAGGGATTTTTTCAGAGCCATCTTCATTGCAACAAATAACTACCGTCAGTCTTTCTTTATCTTGTTTTCTTCCTTCAAGTTGTTTTGTTGCCAATGAATGATCAGCTTGTAGCCTATAAAACAACCCAGTTTCATCCATATTGAAAACATCTTTCATAGGAAACTGATCAATTTTCTCCTGAATCGATACCAATTTCTGCTCCATGTCTTGTATATCAACAGACCCACTCTCGCCAAAACGACGAAATGACTTTATGCCATGTCGGTGCTTGAATTTCCCAAGCCATCCTATAGAGAAGTTAAAATCTGAATAATCATGAGGGTACACGAGTTTCATTGTATCTCTTGCCTTCTGCAAAATTAATTCTCCTGTGATATTCACACGTTCTTGATGTTGGAGAAACCACTCATAAACAACCTTCTCCATGTCAGGATATTTTGCTGGTTTGTGTCTTTTGATCTCTGCTCTTACCTTTTCTATTTTAGCAGAGAGATAGTCATCTGACCGCTTAAGTGTGTTTGATATTGTTTCTTGACTAACTTTCAACTGGAATTTTCCCTCAAGCCATCTCTACAAGTCTTTTTGTGTGCTTGCAGGATTATCTCTCTTATACTCACACAACTCCTTACGTATTTGATCTGACATAGTTGATTTTGCAACACCTTTTAGATGAGAAGCCATCTTGTGAGATATGGTTTGAATACTCTAACACATTCATGTAATTTATATATGCCAAACTTGCTTAAGAATACATTGAACACATTTGTTCCTCTTGTTTACATTTACTGTACTTCAAAAGTCATTATTGATTTCCAATGCATATATAGTGTAGTTACTAATTTACTGTACGTTGAGTCCCAAAGTTCGCTGCAACGTAATTCTAAGAGGCATAGATTAATTTGCCTTTTTGTTTGGTATGTACAGTATAATTACTTAAAAACTCTTTAAATTAATAATTATTAATTTATCGATAAATTAATAACTCTCTAAATTAATAAATTTCTCCGGTCCTGACATTATTAATTTAAAGAGTTTCTACTGTAACTAGTTTTGGAATACACTGTTATTTTATTTTAAAATAAGTTTATATGTATAATTTAATAATTAAAAAATATATGAAAATATAAAAATATTATAAAATTTGTTAGAATCAATTAAAGAAATAATTATGACAGTATTTAAAAATAATATAACTTTTGAAAAAATTTAAAAAACAGACAAAAGTGATTAACACTGTTAATGAGGGACTAAATAAGAAATTTATAAATTTTTAAAAATAAAAACCTTATTTAATTAGAACTTGTTAACGATTATAATATACAAAATATGATAAATAAAATTATTAAATTCTTAATATGTTAAACATCTTAAATTTTTTTTATCAAGAATTATTTATTTATATGACTCCTTTAATAAAGTTTTTAAAAATAATTTTATATTTTTCTTAATATAAGAATTTCATATTAGTAAGTATCAGCAGCAAGAAAACAATTCTTCTTTGAAACATATTAGTTAAATACGTGAAGAAGCAATAGTGTAATATTTCATTGCGTTCAAATACATACATACGTGTGTATATATATATATATATAACAGAAGATCTTGTATTTTAATCTCAGGTCTTTTGATTTTAAGAACACATTTTAGTTTCCACCTTAAAAGAAATTGATAGTAAAAAATATCAGTGACGCAACTCTAAACAATGAAATGTCTTTCTTTACATTAAACAATCCCACTAACAGTACACAAAGCTATTTAGCGAAATTATAGAAGTGAAAAGAAATTTGTTGTACACTGACTAAGAAGTGATAAATGAAACATCTTAGGTTTTATATTGCATTGTATTTGAAAGTTTTTAAAATAATTTATGATTTTTACAATTTATTTTATTTTAACAATTTTTTCAGTATAACATATTAGAAAAATTATTTTCAACTTATTTGAAAATTTTTATAGTTAAATTTATTTAATATTCCTTCACATAATTTGTTATTAATAAATGTTTAATTAAGTTCCAGAAAAAAAATGTTTAATTAAGATGTGCTCCTAAATAAACTCCAAAATACATTCTTAAGGTAATAAATTTTGAAATAATATTTTTAAAAATAATTTTAAATAAAAATAATTTTTTGAAATTTAAATATACTACTAAATGCGTGGATTAATTAATTGAGAATTGTCATAACTTAATATATATAATTTTGAGTTCAAGTTTTAATAAATATATTTACATTAAATACTTAAAAAATATAATTTTAAGTTTGAATTTTAATAAATATATTTATATTAAATATTAAAAAGAAGAATTTTCATTAAATAATACTAAATGCACTCATAGTAGTCTTAATATGTATTTTTGAATTTTAGTTTTGATAAATACATTTATATTAAATATTAAGAATGAAAATTTTATCATCCATAATAGTTTTATTGAGTTTGAACAATTTTTTTCCGTTAAATAATACTAATTACACCCACTAGATGGCAGTTCAGTGACAAACTCTTGTATTATATTTTAGAATATAAGGAAATAGTTGAAGAAATGAAAGAAATTGTTAATTAGATATCTAAATAAAGTAAGTATATTTTTACACTTACTTTCTTTTATATTTATGTTTTCATTTTCTATCACAAGATTAACAACATTCATTTTTTTTTCTTTTAAATTATTTCTCTCCTCTTTTTACCCGTTCTATTGCATATTTTAGAGGTTTAAACTATTTATTACCATCTAAAATACTCAAGCCTATAATAATGTCCATCAATGCATTAAATCACATTGTACTTTATAATTTTCAATAAAAAAAAACTATAATAATACATGTGAATATTCCATAAGTTTAAAAAAATCGTCTAAATAACCATTTCAAATATTATTCTATAATCATAAGAATAATTATTTGAGTGTAAAAATCATTTTGAAATGACTTCTACCTAATCATCAAATTAAAATTAAAATTTAGAAATTAGCCGACAATTGTACGTCAAAATACTGTTAAAGACAAAATAAACCCCACTCATTTTTGGTTTAAATAGAATGCATTTTCTAGAGTTTGGATATGAAAGCAGTGATGAGAACTAGAAGTGCTTCTTTCCTCTGTCTTATATCTCTTGCCACCATTCTGGGTAGTGTTACTGGAACTGCAACGTCAAGCGTGGAGCCAAGCCACTATGTTGCATCATTCAATAGGAGCCTTTTTCCTTCTGGTTTTGCATTTGGAATAGGTTCCTCCGCGTACCAGGTTCCAATCACCACATAACAATGCATTCCTTGTATACGTAATTTCTTGAACACCAAATGTCAAAAACTAATCACACTAAAGTTCCATTGTTTTGCCAATTATTCAGGCTGAAGGAGCAGCAAATGTAGATGGCAGGGGACCAAGTATATGGGACACTTACACTAGACAGCATTCTGGTACTTAACTGTCTAAATAATGTTACTTTTATTTGAAAATTAGGCCTAAAAATGCTAATGCTGAGTGAGAATGTATTTTTTTCCCCTTGAATTAAACTGAGTTAAGTGAGAGACTTGCATAACATGTTTAGTTTAATTACCTTATTTTTAAGAAATAATTGTTTATTTCTTTCAATTTTTAATGGATTTTTTTAAAAATAAAAGTGATTATTCATTTAAATTAAAGTTAAACTACTCATATTATTAATTTGAAAAAACTTAGATATATAAATTTTATATTTTGGTATGATTTTGATTTTAGTCTTTCTAAAAACATTTATTTTACTATTTAATTTTTCTTTAGCATTTTTTATTCTTAATAATGACATAATTTCATAAATGTTTGACACACGACAAAGTGTTGGGCAGTCATTTCATCATTAGGGACCAAAATATTGAATATGAAAAAAAAAATAAAAGGCTAAAATTAAAATCTAATAAGAATGTAAGAACTAAAAGTTTAATTTAAGCCTTCTTTTAAGAATCACTTATCTAACAAAAGCTCTTTTAAAAAATCCGGTAAAAAAAGTTACTATTTCTCTAAAATAAACTCAATCAAACAGTCACTAAAAAAAATAAAAAAATCCATCCCCTCGTTCAGTTTAGAGGTAATTTATCAGTGTAAATGAGCTTTTAACATTCATTTATATTATATTAGAGTGTAGATGGGTATCAATGTTATCTATGCTTTTGCGTGCGTTGTTGAGGTCCTAACAAGAGTTCAATCCTCTTATTTTTCTGTGGTATGAGCAGAAAAAATTTGGGATCATAGCACCGGTGATGTTGGAGCTGATTTTTATCATCGGTACAAGGTACACTTTTGCCTTCAAATTTGCAGTTTAACTTAATATGCTTTTCAGAATAACAGTTTTTTATATTGTTAATCAATTAAAAACATTGTTAAATTAATTGTTATAAAATTAATTTTTTATTAAAATGACAATCCATGATTAATTACTCTGTTAATATATTTTAATTAAAATATATCAATAAAAAAGAAACCTTATGTATTTTGGTCTCCTTAATAATTAATATGAACAGAATTGAATTAGAAAATTAAACTGCCAATGCATTAATGTCGCAGAGTGACATAAAAGTGGTGAAAGAAATGGGGCTGGACTCCTTCAGATTCTCCATTTCTTGGACGAGAATCTTCCCCAGTAAGATATAACCCTAACTCGTTGAAAGAAAAAAAGAAAAAGAATCCGTGTAAATGGAAAGTGATTTCAAAACATTGAATTATTTCCTACAGAGGGCAAAGGAGACGTCAATCCCTTAGGGGTGAAATTCTACAACAATCTCATTGATGAGATCTTGTCAAATGGTAAACCTCTCTTAATATTTTGATTTATTCACTATTCCTCTACAAATTCAGCTTCCTAACTCGTTTTGGCTTCTTTTGGGACAGGCTTAACACCTTTTGTCACCCTTTTCCACTGGGACTTCCCACAGGCTCTTGAAGATGAGTATGGAGGATTTCGTAGTCCTAAAGTAGTGTAAGTTACATAAGTTTCAACAAATTTTACACAAACGAAAAATGGGTTTTAAAATTGAGAATTATAGAATGCCTAGTAATACTAGATGCTTTTTTACACTCAGTTAACCATTAACTTTCCTTTGGGTAATTAGGGAGGATTTTCGTGGCTATGCGAACTTCTGCTTCAAGACCTTTGGTGATAGAGTGAAGCATTGGGTCACTCTGAATGAACCCTTGTCATATAGTCTCAATGGCTACAATGGTGGAACCTTTGCACCAGGTAGATGTTCCAAGTACGTTGCCAATTGCAGTGCCGGTGACTCATCCACTGAACCCTACATCGTTGGCCATAACTTATTACTAGCTCATGCGGCAGGGGCCACATTGTACAAGACCAAATACCAGGTTCACCTCGAAATATTTACATTCGACAAAAATAACCATGTCCATATATTATTAATTATCATTCCACTTGAATAGTTCTTTCGTAACAAAATTAATTAATTTTCCCTGGTATAGTTTTCACTTTCAAAAATTAATATCTTATAATGGACACTTGCTTATCTTTCTTACAAATATTGTTGTGTTTTAGTTCTAAGTCCTTTGTTTTTATTTTTAGAATCGTCTCATTAATTGGCTGATGGTATTATATTATCAAAACCAATCCTTAATTTGTTGGTGACTTAATGCTAGCATTATTTTGAAAATTAGAACTTTAACAAATTAAGCTATCAATATTCCATGTATCAATAACGTTATTTTGACAATTTTGTTAGAGTCTTGCTGATTAATATTCTAAGAACACTGACTAAAAAATTAAAAATAAAATATTTTTATTAAAAATTATGTTAATTTTAAGAAAGGAATTATTTATTTTAATATTGTAACTACTGTTTCTAAGACACTTGTTAGTATTTGTTATCTTATTTATTATTAACGACGGAACTTTTTATTAGTTATATTAGTTCTCTTGAAGGCAAATTTTAGAGTTATTTCCACTACTTAATTAATTATTTTCAATTAATAAATCAAATCAATTGATCTCGATACTTTAATTTATAAAAAATAAAATAAATTAAACGTCCAAATAATTATTATTAAAAGCAAAATTAAATATTAGAGATTAGGAATAAGTAATAAAACTCATATATGCGATGTCTCATCAACGTTGGTAAACTATTGTGGGGTTTTGGTAGGCTCATCAAAAAGGACAAATTGGGATTACCATACCGACTCACTTCTTTTTGCCAAAATCTAACACTGACCCCGATCACAAGGCTGCAAATCGAGCTCTGGAATTTTTCTTTGGTTGGTACGTATTTCTCATCGTAAATAATAATAAAATTAGAACTTTGATCTTATATATCAAAAAATATATATTAATTCATGAACATTGTAATTGAACATATTTTTTAATGTTTTTTTAAGGTATGCCCTTCCTGTCACGTACGGTGACTATCCCGAGAGTATGAGATCTTCGGTTGGTGATAGGCTCCCAAAATTCACAAAAGCTGAAGCTGAAAGTCTCAAAGGTTCCGTTGATTTTCTTGGTGTGAATTATTACACCACATATTTTGCTGAACATGCTGCACCCGTCAGAACCAACAGGACCTTCTACACAGATATACTAGCCTCTCTCACCAGTAAGTACACTCAGCAAATCTAGATAAAATTAACCACAATCATTTTATAATTATTTCTTTAACATTTTACTGACAAAGACAAGCAACAATTTTCTATTCATCACAGCTGAAAGGAACGGTCTAGCTGTTGGGACCCCGGTACAGTAAATTTTCTTTCAAACTATTTAAACCAACTCTTATTTTTAACTTCTGCTTGTATAATATTAGACACAAGGGTGGAAAACTAGGCCTAATTTATTTATTAAATACGTTATGTTAGGACTTTTTCTAAGAGTATATTTAGTTAAAAAGACCAGAGTTTGAACTATTATAAAGTCGTTTAGACTTACCAAACCGACATATTCAAATAAACATTATTATTATTTAAAGATTCAAGTATTTTTATTTAAAATTATGTTTTTTTATTTATTTAAAGATCTTCTACAAAGTAGCTTTTAAATAACGTTGCAGGTTAGGTCGAACTCTTGAAAAGGCCAAACCTTAAATGCTAGATCAGACTTTAAATTCAAGAATCATGCTACTCAAACTTCATGGACGTTAACTCGACTTAACTCATTTTTTACCCTTGATAATGGACCATTTTCTTCATGGCATACAAGAAGTATTTCCTATATCAATGAAACTAGTGTTAATTATGTAAACTATTCCATAGCAAATTAACATGCATTTCTACAACTAATGAAAACATTATGGTTGTGCGTGCAGACTGCTTTGGATTGGCTCTTTATCTATCCAAAGGGACTTCATCAACTTATGGTATACATAAAGGATACATACAGGAATCCAATAATTTACATCACTGAAAATGGTAACTACCATACAATTCAATTTTTGTTCAGGATAGTAAATAGGGATGTAAACATTACAATTATCCTATCATAACATTTCTAATCATGCAATTAATTCCTTAATTGATTAAGAACCTATTTTGTTTGGCCTAGATGTTGCTTCTTTGTCCATTATAATTGATGTAACAAGTGAAGTGAGGCATATATTTTATTTAAGATTAGCTTAATTACCCATAATTGATTATGTTAATTAGAAAATAATATTATACGGTTCTTAATTTTTTAAGGTGTTGCTGAAGCAAGGAATGACTCAATTCCAGTGAATGAAGCCCGCAAGGATGGTACCAGGATTAGATACCATGATAGCCATCTTAAATTCCTCCTTCAAGCGATCAAGTACTGAGAATCAAAATGGGGTTTCTTTATGTTAACAAAGAATTTAAGTACAAGTACAAATTTGTTTCATAATGAATGGCGTTTAGTTGTGGTAATTCACATGTTTTCATTTTCCTTGCAGAGAGGGTGTTAACGTGAAGGGTTACTATGCATGGTCGTTTTCGGATAGCTTTGAATGGGATGCTGGTTACACAGTTCGATTTGGCCTAATATATGTGGATTACAAGAACAATTTGAGAAGATATCCCAAGTACTCTGCTTTTTGGCTCCAAAAATTCCTTCTCAAGTGATCTAAACATACCTATGCCATGCATGAGATGCTTCGTGTTTTCTCCCCAATATAGCCAGATATCAGTTGTAATAAATAATTATTGACATCAAGTAAATAAATCCTATTGGGGAATCGTGATTCGCAATAATCTCTAATATCAATGATGCCCAAATTAATGTGACTCTATGTTACAGCGATATTTTAAAATCATGATGTATGTATGCATGAGCAAAATATCTAAGCGAGAAAGTTTGGTAAAGTTATACCACCATTCAAATGGTGGCAAAAAAAGTTTGTATATAAAGTGGTAGCAGTGAAAAGGCCTTTTTAATAGAAAGTTTAGAGTATAATCAGTGTGTGTGTGTGAATATATTGAGGATTGAAGTCATTGTCATAATTTTGAAACCTATAATAATTAAATAAGGTTTAATGGCTAATTGCAAATAAAAAACGTATTGGGAATGTTATAAGTAAGGGACGTTTCTCTAAGTTGTGGATTTAATTTGGAAAATGAATGACTAATATGGATGAATCATGTATTAATACTGAATGAACGGAAATGATAGAGCTATGCTAGGTTTGGACCTAGGATAGGATAGGGCGGATCAAATGAGAATTAAGTCTAAAGCCTTATACTTTGATTGAGAGTTTGGACGAAAATAAAAAAAAGAAATGTTTAAAAGATAAAAGAGGAGAGTGAAAAGTAATAAAAATGGTTAAATAGAAAAAAACTTAAAAGAATGCTATTAAAAGGATTTATAAATCATGCACTTCTTGTTTAAAAATTTTCAAATAAAAATAATTTTTATATAAAGTTTCTTCTTTCCTTTAAAAATTAACTCTCAAATAATTACTTATAGAAAACTGAACATAACTTGTTAAAATATATGGCACAAAGTGTAGAAGGAGAGAGTTAGAGGAAAGAACTTTAGAAGTAATGAATGTAACCTTTTATTACAGAAAGACAGAAAAGAATGATTACAAAAATTACTTTAAGAAAGAACAATACAAGCAATTATAAAACTAAAAGACAAAAATAACAACAAATTAATTGTAATCAATAACAAGCTAACTAAAAAAGGCAAATAATTAACTAACAACTAATTCTAAGAAACAATATATTTTGTACCATGCCTCCTCAAGATGAAATGTATATATCGTACACCTTAAGTTTGAAAATAAGAACTTAGAAAAGACCTGATGCTAAAGGTTTTGTCAATGCATTAGTAACTTGTTCCTTTAAAATGATAGACATAGAAACAAAAAAATTCTTATTCAACTTTTTTCTGATAATATGACAATTCATCTCAATGTGTCTAGTTTTTTTCATGAAAAACAGAATTTTTAGTTGTGTATCTCGTTGATTAGTTGTCATAAAATAATATAACTCGTAATATGACAGAATGTCAAAATTCTGTAAAAGATAGACTATTTATATTGAGCTTCACATGTTGCCAAAGTCATGACTCTATACTCTGCATTCAAGAATGATTCAGATACAACAAATTATTTCTTACTTTGCCAAAATAGCAAAGATTATCATAAAAAGAAGCATAAACTAGAAGTAGAGCTTCGTGAGTCAATACAAGTACTCCAATCAAAATCTATGTAACCTGTGAGTTTCAAATTTGACATGATAGGAAAGAAAATACCTTCCCTTGGTGCATTTTTTATGCATTTCAACACCTAAGAGCAACTTGATAGTGAATAATAGTAGGATAATTAAGAGATTGACTTAGTTTACCAACAGCGTAGGATATGGCTGACCCAGTAGTAGTTAGGTAAATATGTCTTCCAAGCAATCTTCTATACTTTGTAACACCTTCAAACATAGGTCCCGAAGCTTTATGAAGATGATGAGTGTGATCCATTGGTGTAGAAGAAGGTTTTGAAGCCAATAAACTAGTTTCTTGAAGTAAATTCAAAGCATACTTCTTTTGATAAAGATAGAATATCTTTAACATATTTGACTACTTCTAAACTCAAGAAAAAATTGAGTTGTCCAAGTTATTTAATGCCAAACTCTTTATGAAGAATTTGTTTGACATTATTGATATCATCCAAATCCTTACTAACAAGCACTAAATCATCTACATAAGTAAGAATAATTGTGAAGCCTTTGGATGTTATTTTTGTGAATAAAGAATAATTAACTATGAATTTAGAAAAATTTAATGAAAAGGGAGTCTTAATCAACTTAACATTTCCATTGTCTGCTAGCTTGTCTAAGTCCGTAAGTTTACAAACCAACTTCTCATTTGCAATTTGTAACATCCTTATTATAATTTAAATAATTTCCCTTGAATATATATATATATATATATATATATATGTATATATATATATATATGTATACAAGGACATGATCTTCTTACACCAGTGTAAGTTTAAAAACTCTTACACTTGATCTAAATATTTCATTTAACTTACATCTAACGGTCAATTGTAACGCCCCAAATTTTGTAATATTAATTATTGTTATTTATATAAATCTAAATGTATATATATGAGTGTTGATTTACTTGATAATGATGTTTATGTGTATTAAGTATATGGATGTGTGTATTGTGTGTATGCATGACTAGATATGGCTGAAATGGGCTAAGTGCAGGGAGTAATTCTGGGCTGTTCTTGCTGTAGCGAGAGGGCCCTGGGAGGAAGGCCTGAAACTGTCACCTTTTCACCATAGCGAGAGACATCTCGTTGTAGCAAGAGAGCGACAGTTTGGAGTGCATTTCTGGGTGCAGTCTCGCTGTAGCGAGAGGGTCTCGCTGTAGCGAGATTTTGCAAAAACCAGGGTGCGATTTCGTCTGATATTTTTGCTACAGCGTGATGGCGTGTCGCTGCAGCGAGAATATCTCGCTGTAGCGAGAGTGTCGCGACCAGAAAAGGATTTAAAGGGGGTTAGGATTCGGGGAGAGTTATTTCTCCCTCTCCCTTCAAAATCCCTTTAATCCTCTCGTTCCTAAACCCTTTTTCATCGATTAAATTGCCTCCAAAGCCGTTCGAGACCTTGATTGAAGGTTAAATCCATGTGGGGAACGCTTGGAGGATGAAATCCGTGAGGGGAGACCGCTTCTTGGTGAATTTAGCGTATGGGTCTTCAATCCAAGGTAAGGGGAGACTTTATCATACTCTTTTGTGCATGAATTGTTGATATTTTGCTGAATATTGTGTTGTGGCTGAGTTAATGGGTAGGAAATTGCTGAGAAATGTAATATTGGTCATGTGCTGTGATATGTAAACATTATTTGTGTTGATCTGAAATCGATGGATGTGGATTGTATGTAAATGTTGTGTGATAGAATGAGTATGGACACTTGTGCCGTATATTTGAATGAATATTTTGAAAATGTGGGCCCAAGGGCCGTGTAATATGAACGATAATTGTAGGCTACGTGTTATGTACTGTGAAATGGAATGTGGGCTGTGTGCCGTGTGTAAGCATGATTACTGCATGCGTGAATGGAATATGTGTGAATGGGCGTGTTAACACCGTTGTAATGTACTGTGAATGATTCAGCGATACACTAGGGGTGTGAAAGATGAGGACGGTAGAAATACCTTAGGGAAGAGGGAGTGGTGGTGACACCGACTGTGGAACGGGTGCACCATGGGCTACACACCCTCTTCCTGACTAGACCTCTGACCATTACCTTTGTTGAGCGACCAGTGACTGCCTATGTGGTATCCGTGAGGCGGGGGTAACCGACGACCATTCATAGTGAAAATCTGTGATCACAGTACCACAGTGAGTGCGGCTAGCGTGCACATGCATGGATTTATGTATTGTACTTATGAATGTGAAATGATGTCGATGCCGTGAATGCATAGGTGTTAAATTGACATGAGCTATGTAATTATGCTGCTTGTAATTGTGTTTGTTTAATGTATTGAAAATGTTCCAGAGGTGAAGCTCTACGTTGATTGTGTATTTTTGAGTAGTGTAGAGTACTCACCCTTACATTCATTTTTCAGGTAATCAAGACGATCAGCACCGGACTCAGTGAAGGGATGGATAGATTGCTATAGAACTTAGCTTTTATTTTGAAATTGTTGTAACTGAACTAGTCTTGTAGCAGTCATTTGATATTAATTTGTAACCCTTCCCTTGTTTCGAAGTATTTTTAAAAAAAATTGGTTATTTTAATTTACGAAATTATTATTAAATTGAAATTAAAATTAAGGTGTTACATTAATAAAGTAATAAATTATAACTCGTTATATGTAAGTTAAATGAAAGGCTCAAATCAAGTGCAAGAGCTTATATATATATATATATATATATATATATATATATATATATATATGAATAAGACTTAAGTGAAAAATTTACAAATTCTAAATGATTTTAGGAAATTGTACAAATATATGAATATAACTTATAAAAGTCAGCCAATTCAATTTAAACTTTGCCTATACAAAATTTTCATAAATAGATAAAATAACATGCATTCATAACTTAAACTTATAATTAGGCTGAAAGCTATAATTTTACATTCTATATATTTTTTGAGTTCTTGATACAAACAAACTATTTTTCAATAAAATGAATTTCTAACCAACATTTGACATGAATTAAAATTTAAACAATTAACTAGTAATTATTACACATAACCTTTGAATTATCATTTACAATATGTTTAATAAAAATACTCCAAGTTCTAATTAAAAACTCAATCAATATAATTACATTCTTCAAAATAACTGATCCTAATAGAGAGTCTTTTTCGTAGCATTCCTTGCGAATATGATCCTAGAACAGATCAATATTCTTTATTCTTCTTTACCTGAAAAATGTTTGTAATGGTGAGCATCCCTCGCCTCACTAAAGATCTTGAAATTTTTAAAAAATAATCAAAATAATGTAGAAATATTTCTAATGCAGCATGTAATAAAAAAACAACATTTCATTCTCAACAAATTTAACCAGACAATATTATCTATATACATTACTCATCATTTAACCATACATATTCTATTTCTTATTTAATTAGTCCAATCAATTTCCATTTTTGAACTCGTATCACTTTAATTTTTCATACAATTGTAATCAAACAAAAGTCATCTAAGTACATTACTTCAAACTTAACCAAACATCAACACCAATCCATAATTTCGTGTCATCCATTTCAAGTCTGAACATCTCATCAATTAACAATACTCTAGGTACT